GGGGGGGGCGCCCAGAAGGCAAACGAAACGCCCGCGCGAGTCTCACAAGGACACGAGCCTCCTGCAGTCGTTGCTGCGCGTGCTGGCCGAGGTGTGATCGTCCTATGGCGGCGCGCAGAGGGGGACAGAGCGAGGGGGGCCTTCTAAAAAGACAAGGGATCGGCTTGGCGGCCCTCCCACCTTCCCGCAAGAACTTTGCCTGCTCATTCTGGAGACCTTCCTGCAGCCACTCGCTCCACTCGCGCGCCGAAGCTGCGGCGAACGCCCGTTGATTCGACTCGACATTGATTCAAACCCGAGTCGACCTGAGTAGAACCTGAGTCGAACTGGAGTCGAACTTAGCGTCGAACTGGGGTCGAACAGATCCGTTCGGTGGGCCCCAGGAAGACCCCAAAAACGAGCATCTAAAGAACTATTATCAGAAGCCCCATGCCTCCTGCGATGGCCGCCCCCATTGCCCCACCCCCTTTGCGCGCGTCGCCGAAGCCTCCCCAAGGAGGCCCCCGATCGCAAACTTGGCCCTGTTCAGGCCCCGCAGGTAGACGTTCAGATACCTATGAGGGGCAACGATAGGGGGAACTGGCACAGGGGGGATGCATTGAGCTGGAATCGTCGATGCATCGCCGATAGACCTGCGGAATCAAAACCGCATCGTCCTGGGCGGGCTGGGGCTCCCGGTCCCCTCCCTACCGGCGATCAGTGGACGATTGCGGGTCGATGCATCCCCCCCGATGCCCATCCCCCCTCACCGTTGCCCGTGAACCTCGTGCCCGCCAGGGTGTGGCCGCGGACCACCTTCACGCGGATGTCGTGGAAGTTGATCCACTTGGAATGGCCAGGGTCGACGCCCTCGGCGGCCCACATCAGGCTTTCGCTTCGGTGCCGCCGCGTCCACGCTCCCGAAATGTTGACCTCAGTGAAATACATGTCGCTGCAATCATCGCCGATGTGAGTCACCCTCGCCAACACTAGGAGAACGGTGTTCCGTCTTGCCACCTTCGGAATCCGGATGAGCTGGTGCACCCCAGGCTGGTAGATGTCGAATCTCTGGCCGTGGACATTGACCAAGTGTGGGTCACCAGTGGCGGCGACAGCGCCGGTCGCCACGGGAGCTCCAGGAGGAAACGTCGGGCTGGGCGTGGGGCTGGGAGTGGGGCTGGGCGTGGGGCTGGGCGTCGGGCTGGGCGTGGGGCTGGGCGTGGGGTTGGCCGTCGGACTGGGCGTGGGGCTGGGCGTGGGGCTAGGCGTCGGGCTGGCCGTCGGGAACGGCGTCGGGAGGGGCGTCGGGAATGCTGTCGGGAAAGGCGTCGGGAAGGCTGTCGGGGTGGGCGTCGGGTAGGGGCTTGGGAAGGGCGTCGGGTTGGGCGTCGGGTTGGGCGTTGGGTAGGGACTCGGGTAAGGACTCGGGAAGGCTGTCGGGAAGGCAGTTGGGAAGGGAGTCGGGTAGGGACTCGGGAAAGCTGTCGGGAAAGCCGTCGGGTTGGGCGTCGGATCAGGCGTTGGGGACGGCGTCGGATAGGGACTCGGGAAGGCTGTCGGGAAGGCTGTTGGGAAGGGCGTCGGGAAGGCAGTGGGAAAGGCGTCGGGAAAGCCGTCGGGTTGGGCGTCGGATCAGGCGTTGGGGACGGCGTCGGATAGGGACTCGGGAAGGCTGTCGGGAAGGCTGTTGGGAAGGGCGTCGGGAAGGCAGTTGGGAAAGGCGTCGGGAAAGCCGTCGGGTTGGGCGTCGGATCAACGGCGTTTCGGGAAGGGCGTCGGGAAGGGAGCGGGAACGGCGTCGGGTCGGGAAGGCTGTTGGGAAGGGCGTCGGGAAGGCAGTTGGGAAAGGCGTCGGGAAAGCCGTCGGGTTGGGGTCGGGTCAGGCGTTGGGGACGGCGTCGGATAGGGACTCGGGAAGGCTGTCGGGAAGGCGGGAAAGGCGGAAGGCGTCGGGAGTCGGTCAGGCGGGACGGCGTCGGAAAGGACTCGGGAAGGCTGTCGGGAAGGCTGTTGGGAAGGGCGTCGGGAAGGCAGTTGGGAAAGGCGTCGGGAAAGCCGTCGGGTTGGGCGTCGGATCAGGCGTTGGGGACGGCGTCGGATAGGGACTCGGGAAGGCTGTCGGGAAGGCTGTTGGGAAGGGCGTCGGAAAGGTAGTTGGGAAAGGCGTCGGGAAAGCCGTCGGGTTGGGCGTCGGATCAGGCGTTGGGGACGGCGTCGGATAGGGACTCGGGAAGGCTGTCGGGAAGGGCGTCGGGTAGGGCGTGGGGCTGTTTGTCACCTTTACCCAAGCGCACCACCCCCCACCACAGCTGCCTTCTACACCTTCGCACCTGAACTTCAGGTAACAATCGATGCCATTTGTTTCGACGCCTCTGCAGTCCCCCCGCGCGTCGCACTTCGCAAGGCACGATGCCAAAGAATCGCCTCGTAGATTGTTTGTTAGATGTCCCACATTTTGGCACATTGATGACAGCGGTATATACCCCAGGTCAATAGTGTTCACCGCCGAGTTGGAAGTCGCCTCCAAGCGGGTCAAGAAAGCCAAAGGGCTAGATTCAAGGCCCTGTGGGATGAATCGTCGTCACCGTCGCCTTCGCCGTCGCTGCCGCCCGTCGTCGTCGTCCTCCTGCTCCTCCGTCTCCTCCTACTTCTCGTCATCTCCCTCAACTCCTTCTCCATATAGATAACTCCTCCGTGCCGCACCCCGAGACGTGTCGGCAGGGCGGGTCGGGAGCGTCGCCTGTCGTCTTTCGCATGAAGTTCACGGATGGAAGGCGGGTGGTAAAATGCACCTCTCGCCTCAGCGCCGCAGATCATTGCCTTAAAAATTTGCAAGAGCTTCATGGACAGAGAGCAGCTCATTTTCAAAATGCGGTTCTCGCCTGAGCGCCGAGCACGTTCGCCGAAAAGTGTGCAAGATTTTCATGGAGGGAGGGCGGATCGTCTTCAAAATGTGGTTCTCGCCTTACCGCAGCGACCAGTCGTCTTAAACGTTATGCAACAGCTTCACGAGTGGAGAGCGGGTGGTTTTCCAAAATGCGGTTCTCGCCTAAGCGCCGCGCATAATCATCTCAAAACTTTGCAGTGGGTTCATGGATGGAGGGCGGGTAGTTTTGAAAATGCGATTCTCGCCGTAGCGCCGCGAACACTCGTCTCCAACATGTGCATGAGCTTCACAGATGGAGGGCGGGTCTTTTTCAATGTGGTTCCCGCCTGAACGCCGCGCACATTCGTCTTAAAAATTTCGCAGGAGCTTCACGCCTCAGGCTGGCAGTGTCAACAGATGTGATGGATGAAATTTCACAAGGCCGCGTTTGCGGGGGGCGCCCTGTCGCGATGGCTGCGATGGCAAGAATGCCCCGTCATGCCTCACAAAAACCGCAATGCAATTGCGATCCGATTACACGGCGGACGCGACTCCCCTGAACAGCCAGGCAATTCGACGAAAGAACGGCATGAAAATTTCAATCCCCGTCATCACTAGCGGCGCCGCGAACGGTCCCTCGACGGGCCTTACGAACCAACAAAAAATTCTGTTTAAAACGAACCAAATTTCTTTCCCCGAATGTGCGCGCAGTTTTCACTGACTTTCCATCGGGTTTCCATTGCGGTTTCATTGCGCAGTGTCGGCAGGACGACGTAATAGAACAAAGACAGGGGCGGACAAAGAAGAGGCGGCGATGCCCACGGTGATCGGCTGCTAACCACGCCCGACACGCGACCAATTCTGAAAAAGGTCGAACGGAAAAGCTGACCTCGACAAAAAAATCCAATTTGAAATTTCCACCCCAAAGTTTTCGCACTGGGGACGCGCCAGCCTCTCGGATGGAGGGCGGGTGGTCTTCAAAATGCGGTTCTCGCCTTAGCGCAGCGCTCATTCGTTGAAGCTTCACGGTTAAAGGGCGGGTCGTTTTCAAAATGTGGTTCTCGCTTGAGCGCCACGCACATTCGCGTAAAATTTCTGCACGACTTTACTGGCTCCTTGGGGTTGCCATTAGGACTGACAAAGCGCAGCAGTCACGTTGACTCGCGGAATTGAAGTCCCAGGACTGCCGTTCTGGCGCGACGCAGAATCGCCAGGACGCAACAGTAAAGTTGACTCGGGGCTGAAGTCCAAGGAGGTGTGCTGTGTCACGAATGAGAAATATCAGACGTTGTCTTCCAGCAGGCCACTTCCAGCTGTGAAAATCCGCCACGCTGTCGTCGTCGTCGTCGCCAGTCCTGTAACAAAGACAAGATAAATCTCGTAGTTCAGTCGACTCCCCTTCCCTGACGGGGGTGGAGCGGGGCGGTGGGGCACGGGGAGGAGCCTTTGCGGACAGGAGGGTGCGGGGGAGGGGCACGGGGGGCCCGAGCCAGATTGTGGCCCCCTCGGGGTCCGGGGGGGTCCCGGGCGGTGGTCCCGCGCTTGGACATGGGGGGACAGGGAGGAGCCCCCCCTGTGGAACGCCGGCCCCGGCCCCAGTACCGGCCCTGGCCCTGGCCCTGGCCCGCAGCACCGACCCCGGCTCCGGCCCAGGCCCCAGTCCCGGCCACGGCCCTGGCCCCGACCCTGGCCCTGGCCCCGGCTCTGGCGCTGGAACTGGCCCTGGCCCAGGCCCCGGCCCTGGGCCCTGGCCCCGGCCCCAGCACCGGCCCCAGCCCCAGGTGGCCCTGGGGATGCCCCGCCTGTAAGGTCGGCGGCACCGGCCGCAAGGCCTTCACAAGAAATCCCACCAGCCCCTCAGGGCGTGAGTGGTTCAGAGAGTTTCCTCTTCCATCTTCCCTTTTCTTCTTTGGGGAAGGGTTTATCTCTGCTCCCATAGTCCCCTATACAAAAAAAATCCCCTTTCCCAGGCGACCGGCAGCCAACCAGGTACAATGACAGCCCTGACCCCATCCCTGTCAATACCAAGTATACTGTAGGGCAACTGACTGGGTCATGCTCGTGGGCCCCGCGGACACTTTGTCCTGTTTGTTGGCAAGGACGGCGAGGTTTTTATCATATTGCCTGCTGTTCGCAGGGCCACCGTCCGCGCCAAAAAAACTATACATTGTGCATCTCGCAACAAAATATGGATCATGCGCGGCCACCACGCAGTCACTTGGGCTTGCTTTTCCCAGCCCTCCTGCTTTGGCTTCTCGTTTTGAATAAAGAATTGCGGCCTCCAACCATATCCTCCTCCACCTCCTCATCCTCTTTTCCTCCTCTCCTCTCCTGTGCGCCTGATGGCTTGACCATGGAGCCTGCTAAATGTGAAGCTGGCATGCGTTGGGAGCGGTGATATGCGGAACTGTCGCCACTTTCGAAGGCTGCTGGGGGAGCCACCATACTGGACACCCGCCGCGGATTCAGATCAGATCTCGCCAACCCTGGGGGTCTGCGATCTGCGAATATGTCGCCAGTTTCGATAGCTGCTGGGAGAGCCAGCATACTGGGCACCCGCCGCGGATTCAGATTAGACCTCGCCATCCCTGGGGAGCTGCTATCTGCGAAACTGTCGCCACTTTCGAAAGCTGCTGGGGGGACCAGCATACCGGGCACCTGCCGCGGATTCATATTAGACCTCGCCGTCCACGGGGGCTGCGATTTGCGAAATTGTCGCCACTTTCGAGAGCTGCAAGGGGGGGGGACCAGCATAATGAATACCCACCGCGGATTCAGACTTGATCTCGCTATCCATGGGGGGGCTGCGATCTGCGAAACTGTTGCCGCTTTCGACGGCTGCTGGGGGGCCAGCATATTGGGTTCCCGCCGCAAATTCCATATAGATCTCGCCGTTCCGGGCAGGGAAGGGGGGGGGGGGGGGGATTTGCGAGTGTGTCGCAACTTCTGGGGCTTGCTGAGGGGACCACCATACTGGGCACCCGCCGCACACTCAGACTATAGCTCGCCATCCCTGGGGGGCTGCGATGTGCGAAATTGTTGCCACCTTCGGGAGCTGTTGGGGAGTCCAGCGGAGTGGGGCACCATCCAGACTCAGATTAGACCTCGCAATCCCTGCGGGGCTCCGATGTGCCGAACGATTGCCACTTTCGAAGGCTGCTGGGGGGTCCCGCGGAGTGAGGCACCACCAACACTCAGACTAGACCTTGCCATCCCTGGGGGGCTGCGATGTGCGGAACTGTTGCCATTTTCGACGGCTGTTGGGGGGTCAAGCGGAGCGAAGCACCACTCACATTCAGATGAAACCTCGCCATCTTTGGGGGGCTGCGATCTGCAAAACTGTCGCCACTTTCGAGGGCTGCAGGGGGGCTCAACGGAGCGAGGAACCACCCAGACTCAGATTAGACCTCGCCATCTCTGGGGGGCTGCGACGTGCGAAATTGTCGCCACTTTCGAGGCCTCTTGGGGGGAGTGAGGCACCACCCACACTCAGACTAGACCTCGCCACCCCTGGGAGGCTGCGCTCTGCGAAAATGTCGCCACGTTCGAAGACTGCTCGATTTGCGAGACTGTCGCCACTTTCGAGGGCTGCACGGGATCCAGCGGGGCGACGTCGCAGACCGCCCGCAAACCTGGCGGCACGCTTTCGAGCGCTTAGCTCCCGCACTGACGAGCGCGGAAGTTAGCAGAAAATCTGGCGGGCGAGCTAGGCTTCACTCGTTTCTTGCACTAAGTATAAGCAGCTGTAATCAGTTTGTCGAGTCGATCGCCGCGGCGACATGGCGCAGGCAGCGCTGCATCTCTAGCGCGCTGCCGACAATGGCATTTGTCGGTCTCCTCCCGTCACTTTCGTCGTCGTCCTCTGCCCCCTGCCACCTTCCCTCTGCTGTTGCCGCGCTGACGGGTCGCCCCCCCACGCGTTCTTTTCGTGCCCTTCGTTCCCGCCCCCAGAACCTCCTCAAGCTTGAGCGGTCGCTCCTCGTCCTTCTGTCGTTGTCATGTGAATCGCGCCACGTGACCGCACCCCATGTAGCTTGCACAACATATAACGGCGCTTACACGGTCATTGTCCTGGCAAGTTTGGGCCAACTCCTGTCACTTGATGCAAATGGGTTGGGTACGTCACAAGTTAGTTGACTATAGCGGCGGCAGCGCTGGCACATGCCTACTGTGCGCAGGCCGCCCGAACAACATGATGGCCACCCCGCCGCGAAGGCGTTGTAGCTTTCGACAAAGACGGTGGGGGCCGACACGCTTCCAAATGTGTGCTGTGCGCGCGCGCGCCCCTGGCACACTCTGTGCGTGCCCCTAACATGATGCACCTGGCGCGGCTGGAGCATGCGGAGCACACATGGCGCACGTCGCGCACGTAGCGCATCTGGTGTGCCAGGCTGGTGCGCCAGGCGTGCATGGCACGATTGAGCCTCAGGGGTGCCTCGCGCACCTGGCGCGCGTGGCGGGCCTGGCACGTGTGGCGCTCCTCGCCCCAGCATCGCGCCACAGCTATATAGCTGCCCATCCATAGACGACCGCTGATGACGCTGAGACTCGGAAGCTACTATGTGTTGGAAGGACGGGTGGGAGTGGGCGAGACAGCTTGCGGGCGGATAGGGTGTCTTGATCACGGTTCCCTACAAATGAAAACCCCTCCCCCA